AACCCTGCTGAATTACAACCGAGAAGAAGGAGCCACCAAGCTAGCTCCCCAAGGATGGGTCAATCAGCTGAATGTAGCAGAAGAAATAGGAGCCACCGCCGCCAATTCCGATGTCCCTGTGGCTGCAGGATGGGGTGGGAATGCAGAGTTACGTGCCCTGACCAGCAAGTTACTGAGTGAAAATTGGCACACCTTCATCGTGCGTCCCCATTTGCCCACCCTCCATACAGGCAAATTGTTGGTCCCCAATATCCAGTTGGACTTTGAACTGTTCCTCAACCCCAAGACCATCTACCTGATGGGCTCCCCCAACAAAGGCACCTTGACCACCAAGAAAATTCCAGCCATCCACAATGATGACATCAAAGTCACCTTGTTGATGAGAAAAGTGACCCTGAATGCTGCTGTCTATGTCAGACTGCAAAAAGAAAGACAACTGAACAAACAGATTGCCCGCTACCCTGTGGTGCGGAGTGAAATTCGCACCTTTTCCTTTGATGGACGCACCACCCAATGGGAACAAGACAATGTGTTTGTGGAACGATTTCCTGATCGAGTGATTGTCGGATTATTGCATTCGGATGCCTTCAATGGAGACCTGGAAAGATACCCTTTTGCTTTTCAAAAGTTTGGGGTCACCCAAGTACGACAGACCTTGAATGGAGAAGAATACCCTTACAGAACCCTGCAATTGACAGGAGACCAAGCCTATGAAGATTTGCTGGGCTACGATCGATTTCTACAAGCCATGGGTGCCTACAATGAACACAAGATCCCTATGCTGCTGCCTGGTGATTGGGGACAAGGCAAGAATTGTACCTTGTTCATGTTCAACAATGTGCCTAGTCAAAAAGCCGATGACCCTGAATATCGCAACCCCCGTCAATCGGGCAATACGCGATTGATCATTGATTTTGCTGCGGCTGTGGGACACAACGTCACCGTCATGGTATGGAGCGAGTATGAAAACATGTATGAGATCAACCATCTGGGAGGTATAAAGTACAACATCAACGGCTGAGAAATCAGAAGTCAAAAGACACCGAGCATGGAGTTTGTGGCACTCAGTGATGCTGTGTTGCGGACCCTGGCCTTGGAAGACCCGCAGACACGACGCGTGTTTCATGGGGTGCATCCCGCCGACCAACTCCCCGATCCCCCGCCAAGGAGATCCGTCAAGCCTACATTGTCAACACGGACCCGGCAAGGGAGAACCGGGCCAGCATTGGTTGGGCCTATGGACGAAAAAGAACCAGTGCGAGATCTTTGACAGTTATGGTCTACCCCTGCACGTGTACACCACCCCGGAGTTGCACCAATGGTGGGGTCAATGGAAGTACCTGACGCGCGAGTGACCAGACCCTGCAAGCCCTGGATAGTCAAACCTGTGGCCATTATCGTTATTTTTCTTGAAAGCCGGGCACAAGGACGGTCCTATCAAGAATTTTTAAGTCAATGGAGTTGTGACAATTTAGTGTTGAATGATCATAAAGTGGCCGACCAGTTGAAACGGGTGATTAAACAGGAATTACAAGATGAAGTGGATGCCCGACGGGATGGGGGGCAAAAGAATGTAAGCCGCCAGGCCTTTATCACGTGTCATCCTTGTGTATGTTAATAAAAACCATAAAACGAGATGTGTTGTGAACGAGTGGTCATTTGTCTCTCATGATGATTACGCGAAGCGATGTCCAGCGTATTGTGGATGCGTTCATTCTCGAAGAAACCTTGTATTGGTGGGAACACCCCATCGAACGGGTCAACACGGTGCAAGGGATTGATGCCTGGGATGGGTATCATTGGCTCATGGCCCGACAATTGGCCCAAGACCAAGATTGGGTCTCCCTCAAACAGTATATGGACAGTATGAGCGAAACGTATTTAAGAGAAACCATGGAAGGCCTGATCCAGTCTGAATCGCCACGTGTGTATCGCGAGTATTGGACAGAATGCCCCACCGCAGACGACGGCGACGACGACGACAACGACAGGGCACTCGACGACCCCGCTTTCGCCAAAACGGGCGCGGGATCATGAGCGTGTTGGCCAAAGCCTATAAAATCGGGGATCAATTGGGACGCGACAAACGGTATAAACGCATGGGTGCTAAAGGGGGCACCGGTCATTATCGGCGTCACCCTCGACCGTGGGAATCATGATCCGACAACCCAGTAGTGTGATTATCGCAGGCCCGTCGGGCAGTGGCAAGACGGATTTGGTGGAACAATGGTTACGGTACCTCAACGTGTTTCAAGTCAAACCCCGTAAGATTGTGTATGCCTATGATCGCTGGCAACCCCGGTTCGAGCGTATGCAAAAAAAGGATGGGATTCAATTTTATCGCGGGTTACCGGACCCTCGTCATTTGACGCAATGGTTTGGTCGAACGCGTGGCGGGGTGTTGGTCTTGGACGACCTGATGGAAGAAGGGGGACAAGACAAGCGCGTGTTGGATTTGTTCACCAAAGATTCGCATCATCGTAACATCACGGTGTTGTATTTGACGCAAGATTTATTCCCGCCTGGCAAATTTTCCAAGACCATTAATCGCAACGCGCATTACATTGTGGCCTTCAAAAACCCCCGGGATCAAACAGGGATACGGACGATTTTATTGCAAGCCTTTCCGGATCGATGGCGTCAAGTCTTGCGCCTATTTAAACGCATCACGGCCCGCCCTTTGGCTATTTGATGTTGGATGTGCATCCAGCCTCGGATGATCGCTACCGTTTGTGGAGTCATTTAACGCCCGAGAAGGCAAAGCCCAAGTCCACACCTTGCGTGCGGATGTCCCTGCCGATCAAAACGCGCTGCTACGAACGCGAACGTCAACGACGGCAAAGAGAAGGCGGACAACATACTGAGTTAGCCGCCGCATGGACGCCACACGCCAGCGGGGGTAGGTTCCCCCTCAGTCCTCCGAGATCTCAGCAGCATGACGGACATGGTGACCGAATTGTCTCGACCCGTGGATCGTACCCAATTGCAGCAAGACATTGATGAGTTCAATTTGACTTACCCGGTCAATGTAGACGATGCCTTGAATGCCTTCACGCTCCCGCCCGTGGCAGGCACTGGTACAGCCCCCGTCACCACTGCCACCACCACCACCACGGCAGCCCCAACCCGCCCCACCACCTCAACCCGAACACGCCCCACGACCACCACCACCACCAGCCGACCACGACCCGTCACGTCCACTCGAACACGCCCCACCACTACTGCTACGACCACCACCGCCCCTGCCCGCCCCTCCACCTCCCGCCGCAGTGTTGGGGCAGGAACCAGGACCACTACCTCGACGACAACGACCCCCACGGGACGCCCCACCATCGCTGCCAAACAACCGCGACGGCGCCCCAGGGTGCCCTCTCCACCCTCCCCAGGTTCGTCCCCTCCGTCCGATGACGAGGATGGCGATGATGATGACGATCGACGGCGAGGCTTAAGGCGACGATTGGATTTGCTCAATGAAGATGCTCAAGAACGGGCTCGAGGTCGACGCATCCGCAACATCACGCACACCAATACGGTGACCACCGTGTATGAAGAGGGGGGTCGTCCCTCGGTGCGCCGCACCTCCACCCGCACGTCCAGCCCAAGTCCACCCAGACCACCACGCCGAGGACGGGGCCGTGGCCGAGCACGCGGACGGGGCCGAGCCCGTGGACGAGGTCGTAGTATATAAAAACAGGGACCTTTCTTCCCCTGTCCCAAAAATGTGTGGCCGTTGTCGATACGCGATGGGACGCAAACGCCAACGCAGGACGACACGACGACGACCCGCCAAACGACGACGGCGTGTGAGTCAAGTAGGGGGTGTCGCGGTCAGCATGCCCCTAGGGATTCTCAAAGCCGGCTATGGAATCACCAAAGCCATCGGGGATCATCAAACCAAGCGGGCCATCGCCATTGGCGAAAAACGTCGACGGGAAGTGGCTTCAGGCAAACGGAAAAAATATGCGGGGGAATCCTTTAATTGTTCCATTATGTAAAAAACTATAAAAGACCCAAGGGGTGTCCTTCCTCGGACAGTTCATCATCATGCATTGTGGTCCACGACGACGAAAACGACGCCGAAAGCAACGCGGGGGTATTCTCCCGTTTCTCATCCCCGCAGCAGTGGCTGCCGCTGTCCTCATGAAAAAGAAGAAAAAGAAAAAAAAGGTGGGCAAGATGAGTGCAGCCAATCAACGACTGGCCCAACGACGGGTCCAGCGGATGTTGAGACGCGCAAAGGGATGGGATTTCTAAGCTCCATGCACGCTATAAAAGAAACGCTTGTTGGACACACGATTCCCATTGAAGAATGGTTCGTGGCCCCAACGGTCGTCGACATCGTTATGTCCCTCGAATACGACGCCGCCGACGTGGACGCCAACGCGGTGCTAAACTCCCGCTGTTGGCAATGGCTCTCTCGCCTTTGTATCTCTGGAAATTCAAACCCAGAATCCGACTACGACGCCCAGACTAAACGACGCCCAAAACGCAAAGCCGTCACGTTTGCGTTGGATTGGGATGACCAGTATGACGCCGCTTTGTGTGCCCGGTGTCGAGATCACATGCAAACGCATTATCATGGGGAATTGTGTGGTCGGTGTGGCACCATTTTTACCATAAATAGACCTTGGTCCTTGCCTGAACTCAAGATTCATCATGGGGTGGCGCATGGAACTTCAAGCCCCGTTCTTAAAAAGTGTCTTACAAGAAGCCAATCAACACAAACGACAAGAATTGTTGCGGATGGCCAATGCGGATCAGATCAATGCGGTCAGTGAATTGGTGATGAATACCCTCCGTGGCACCGTCCCCCGTTCCCGGCAGACCATTACGTTGCTCAAACCTCACGCTCAGAGTTTTTACGCTATGGCCAAACCTGCTCATTCCGTCAAACGCCCGACGGCGCTATCATGATGGCTCAAACAGGGGTGCCCTCTGGCGGAACTCTACCGATGTTATAAACGTTGCATGCGCGCTAGACCCGACCCCTCAGTTGCACCATGGAACCCGAGATGGTCAGCACCACGGTGAACAACGCCCGGCTTTTTTTGCAATTACGAGACCAGTACAAACAAGAATTGGTGGAAGACACTCGCTTGACCAAAGCCGCCGATTTAGCGGCCAAACAACATGTCCTTCTGACCAGTGATGCCCCCGATGCTTGGAAACGGCCTCAACTCAAAGCCGTCAGCCGTCAATTACGCCATTGGACTAAAAAAGTGCGCCAACCCTTTGGAGCCGCTGCTGGGGGTGTGACTGCTGCCGGGGCCACCACCCCGGGTGACGATGATTTTGAAGCGGGTCCCATGCAAGCCTGGTTCACGCAATTGGTCAAGGCTACCCAGGGTATAAAACAAGGCACCCCGACGCGTGGACCCAGAAAACCCCCTGTCCCGCCTAAACCAAGGTTCACCCCTAGTGCCAAAAAGAAACTCAAGTTTACGACCCCGTTGAGCAGTGAAGAATTGGCGGACGAGTTGCCCTTTTCGGACACAACCGGTGTAGAACCGTGGGATACCCCTAAAGAACGTGTGGACACCATCAAGAGAAAAGCCCTACGTGATATTCGCAAAAAAACCACGGACAGTGCCAAAAAGAAAGCGGCGGGGATCGCCAAAAAGAAAGCCACTGGTTGGGCCAAGAAAGCTTTGGATTGGAAATCGTGGAAAACCCCCTAAAAAATGGGACGCAAACGCCGTGCTGCGGCCTCCCGTTCCCGAGCCAAGCGACGACGACGACACTCGCAACGGGGCGGCAAGTTATTTGATGTGCAGAACCTCCTCAACAAGACCGGTATTGAATTTCATTGGCCTGGTTATCAGTACATGGGCCCTGGCACTCATTTGAAAAAACGATTGGCCCGTGGGGATCCCGGCATCAACCGGTTGGACAGGATTGCCAAAGCCCATGACATGGATTATGATAAAGCCAAGAATTTGAAAGACAAATGGGCAGCGGATCGCAAGATGATTGCCAAGATTGATCAACTCCCCGGCAGTAAAAACTTAACAGAGCGTATTGTGAGACGCATTATGAAAGCTAAACTTCGATTCGGCATGTAAACCCCCTTTAGTCATAAAAACAAGACACCATGTTCAATAGCACAATACACATGATTTAATTAAACGTTTGTTCTTACAAATACGAGTCCATTTTTTGTAAAGCCTCCGCGCGAAGGGTTTGCACACTGTCCTCATTAGGTACCATGAGGGGCAAGTCCAATGGCAGCCACGGGAGGGGAAAGGGACGCTCTAATTCCTCGTCCAACCAGGACCATTCTCGACGTCGAATGGCTTCCATTCGCTTGCTGTACCGTTCTTTTTGCAATGCTTTCCACCCTTCCTCGCCCAACTCTTTTCTTTTCTGGGCGGCCTGCTCTCGTCGATGGGCATTGGTCCGTTGCAGATAAGCCTGGTAGGTCCCTCGCTCTTTCATTTTCTCCCGCCAGTTTTTCTGACACTGGGCGTTTTTACGCTTGACCTCCTCCCGCTGTTCCTTGGTCATGCCGTAGTAGCGCTGCATCCCCTCTTGGGATTTTTTAGCTTTGAAGGCATCGTACTCACCACTGACTTTCAACCGAGCCATTCGTTCATGGTAGCGGCGACGGTGAAGGGCCTTGACATCCTCAATGCCGTTGGGTTTGGCATATAGACGATGCCGATACGCTTTTTGTTGCGCTTTGTTTTTTACAGGGTCCCGTTTTTTCCTGGGTTTGGGGGGCTGGCGCGATCCTGGCGTATCCATGTTCCAACTCTAGTAAACGGGCAGCGCACTCATCGGCCAAGGCTTGCAATTTTCGAAAAGGATGGGGTGTCTCTCGAGCTCGGGCACGACGGTCCCGTTGCTGTTGGACGATCTTGTCGCGGTGTCGATGGTAGTACTTGCGGTTGAGCGCCCGTACTTGGTCTCCGTGTGTGGATCGGTATCGGTTACAGGCCAACCGGTTTAATTCACGAGCTCTGGCCAACTGTTCCTGGGTCGGAGGTGGTTTGGGCGGCTTGGGCGGTTTGAGTTTTTTCTGAGCCGCCCGCTTCTCCCGTTTCTGTGCCACAATCCTCTCCCTGTGTTTCAGGTACCACCGGTGTTTCGCTTCTTTCACTTTCTCAGGATCTTTCGGCATGTCTCGAACGCAACTGACGTCTGGTCTGAACGTTGGCTTATATCTAGCCATCTTTCCGCCAATCACCGATCTCGGTCCAGGCTCAGAGGAGACTGGAAAAATCTGTACCCATGGGGGGCACCCCCCTCAATCCTCCTCCTGTCTATTCAACCCCTCACCTGACCCTCACCTGACTCTCACCTGAGCCCCATCCACCAATCCCTGTTCATCTGATCACGTGTTTTTTAGGTCTATAAAAGCCCGCGTCTGGCGCGGGAACATTCAAATTGCCTCCTCCGTCATGGCGGAGGACCCCTGGTATCCTGACAGTGATGAAGAAGAAGAAGCTCTATTAAACCGCGCTTATGACCAGTGGGAACAAATGGGCGGAGCCATTCCCGCTCGAGGCCCTCTCTTTCAGTTTACCATGCAACCTATTGGTCGACGACGCCGCTGGCGGAATGTGGTGGAACGCGCACAATTCAATGCGCAATTGCGTCAATTGCGGGATCCTGGTCCTGGAGATAATATTGGGATGGCCCTCACGGAAGCCTTGCATCAAGCCATTGAAACAGAACTCGACCGCGAGCAGCGACCTGCCCATCATTTTGTGAACTTTGCTATTACAGCGCATGGGTTCACTCACGCGTATCAAACCGCCAATTTCACTGTGGGAGAATTTTTACAACGCACGGCTCGATTGGATGAGATGTTAGCTACCCTAGCTGGCAAGTTGAATAGCAATGAAGCCTTCAACCCCGATCGTGGGTTCCAAGTGGATGTCGTGTTTGTCTCTATGCCTGGCCCAGGGTCTGGTCGACATAAACAACGCAATGTCGGCCGTTTATGCCTGGATCGGGTCAACCAGAAAAAGAGATGCATTGTCCCCATCAAAAATAGAGATACTTTATGTTGTGCCCGCGCCATTGTCACCATGCGTGCTCATTGCCATAAAGATCAAGGCGTGGACGGGTTTCGCGATTGGGAGAATCTCAAACGTGGTCGTCCTGTGCAACAACGTCAAGCCCAGGCTCTTCATCAGCAAGCGGGTGTGGCGGAGGGTCCCTGTGGCATCCCCGAGCTTCGTCAGTTTCAACACGCGTTGGGATCTCACTATCAACTCTTGGTGATGACCCGGATGAAACCGTTCTTTTTAATTTTCAAAGGCCCTGACGCCCCTCATCAGATTCGTTTACTGAAATCCAATGATCATTTTGATGGTTGCACGTCCTTTCCCGCCTTTGTGAATCGCTCCTATTATTGCCTGGACTGTGAACGAGGGTTCAACACCGATGATCGATCCCATCATACTTGTCAAGGGAGACGCTGCTGTGCTTGTGAGCGCTTTGATTGTCCGGAGTATGTGGTTGGCACCCGCCCCACCGAGTATTGCAGTCTGTGTCACCGTAAGTTTTATGGTCCTCAATGCAAACGTTATCATGAAGTCAGCCACCAATGTCAATCGATCAAATGCTGTACCAAGTGTCAAGCCCAATACACAGTCGTCCGCCACCAACGTCATCAGTGCGGGTACACCAAATGTTCTGTGTGTCAGGAATGGGTGTCTATTCAAGACCACAAGTGTTACATTCAGCCTGCGGTAGAGCCAGAGGAGACTGAACCGACAGAGGAGGGGGGAGGTCGCATGGTGGCGCCACCCCCTCCCCTGTTTGTTTATGCAGATTTCGAAGCCATGCAGAATGCAGAAGGGGTGTTTGTGGCTAATTTGTTATGTTATTCGTCCAGTGCCGAAACCACTATTCATGTATTGGACGGGGAGGACTGTGCCCTCCAATTTTTGCGTGATTTGGATGATCTCACGGACGTGCCTGACTGTGAGGGCGAGCGGGAGATTCTCGTGGTGTTTCATAATTTAAAAGGCTTCGATGGCATGTTCATTCTCCATGAATTGTACCAGCAACAACGCGAGGTGGTGGATCAACTGACGGTGGGAGCTAAAGTGTTGTCGTTCAAGAGTGGACCCCTCAAATTCATTGACTCGTTATGTTTCTTGCCTATGCCGCTGGCCTCTTTTCCTAGTACCTTCAATTTAACCGAATTAAAGAAAGGTTTCTTTCCTCATTTGTTCAATACCCCCGATCATCAACAGTATGTGGGTCGCATCCCCGATCTGGAATTTTACGATCCCGACGGCATGATGGCCAAAAAGAAAGACGAACTGACCCGTTGGCATGCCGATCAAGTCCGTCGTCATGTCACGTTTAATTTCCAGCAAGACATGATTGACTATTGCAAATCGGATGTAGCTCTCTTGAAAGCGGGGTGTGAAGCTTTTCAACACGAATTTGAACAGCAGGCTGGCTTCAACCCCATGGCCAAGTGTATCACCATTGCCAGTGCCTGCAACTTGTATTGGCGCAAGCATCATTTGACCCCCGATACCATTGCGGTGGAACCTCTGGCGGGTTGGCGAGGGGCCCAAGTCAATCAATCCCTCAAAGCCCTGCAATGGCTCTATTATCAAGAACATCTCCTTCCCAAAGAGGGGGCCAGTGCTGACCGCATTCGTCACGTCCGAAACGGGGGCGAACAGTCCATCCGAACCAGCGTTGACAGGCATTTCGTCGATGGCTACGATCCTGTGACTCGTACCGTCTACGAGTTTCATGGATGTCTCTATCATGGCTGTCCCCGTTGTTATCCCAGGAGAAACGCCAAACATTATGCCACACCGGACCGAAGCGTCGAGGAACTCTATCAAGCCACGCTCGCCAAACGCCAGGCCTTGCTTCGAGCAGGCTACACGGTCCTTGAAATGTGGGAATGTGAATGGGACCAACTGGTGGACACCGATGAGGCTGTTCAACGTTTTCTCAATTCCTTTGATCTGGTGGCACCCCTAGAACCCCGTGAAGCCTTCTTTGGGGGTCGAACCGGTGCGGTGGCTCTACATGCTGTGATTGGAGAAGGTGAGGAAATACGCTATGTGGATGTGACCTCCCTGTATCCATGGGTGAATAAAAACTGTCCCTACCCCATCGGGCATCCGCGGATCATCACGCAGCCCGCTGACCAGTCCCTGGAATCTTATTTTGGTGTCGCCACCGTGGATATTCTTCCTCCCACTGGTTTATTCCACCCTGTTCTACCCGTGCGTAGCGGCAACAAGCTCACGTTTCCTCTCTGCCGCGCTTGTGTTCAAACCGAGCAGGCCCAACCCATGTTGACCCGAACCCATTATTGCCCTCATTCCGATGCAGATCGTATGCTACGCGGTACCTGGTGCACACCCGAATTGGTCAAAGCTGTCGAAAAGGGGTACACGCTGATCAAGATCCATGAAGTCTGGCATTTTCCCCCTGGACAACGCCAAACGGGTCTTTTTGCCGATTACGTCAACACTTGGCTCAAGATCAAACAGGAATCTGCAGGATGGCCCAACTGGTGTCAGACCCTTGAGCAAAAACGCCATTACATTCTTCGTTACCAGGAACGGGAAGGCATCCGACTGGACATTGCCAGTATTGCCAAAAACCCCGGTCGTAAAGCCACCGCCAAGCTCATGCTGAATAGTTTCTGGGGCAAATTTGGGGAGCGGATCAACAAACCCACCACCGT